ACATTGTAGATAGGCTAAAGCAATTAAAAATTGGCTGCTGCAATAAAAAACTGGCTATTGCAGTCAATTAAAAATGCTAGGTCATATTTTACCATCTAATTTGTTGTAGCAGCCAATCTTTTCTTTCAATATACAAATCTTTTCCTTAAGAAGCGATTATACTCATCAATTAACCTAACATTTTTTATCACATTTGTGGATTTTCTTTCAATTAAAAAATGTTCTATTCTTCGTGAAACGATGTAACAAATGTTAAATTCTAACGCGTGCAATCACGTGCTCGTAATCGAAGCACGAGTGATAGCCTTCGCATCATTTGAATACGCCTTCGCCGGGGGAGGGGGTCCTGCCAATAAATCTACGTGGGCGAGATCGGCTTTTAGATTAAAAGTGTACGGCTCGGGGGCACATAAAGAGGCGGGAAGGTGGGACTCGAGAGTTAGCCCATGAAATTTCTCGCGCGCACGAGACCTTGCTACTCGTTCTCGTTTGCATTCGTCGGCATCGCGCGATATACAGGCGCGAGGGTGCTTACTTTCGTCGCAGCGAATGCTCGACACTGTGGCTCGTCGAAAAAGGAAGATATAGAGAGAAACACGGGAAACGACGATGTGAAACAGCGAAGAAGAAGAAGAGGGAACGGAGGAGACGGAGGAGATGCTTACCGTTGAACTAAGGGAGACCTCGTTACGTTCTCTTGGTCCAGGCGTATACGCAACGAGATAACATCAGTCCAGTGCGGATATACGCGAGAGAGTACGGCTACCTGCTGGTTATCGTACCGTGGAAATAGCAAAACGTGCTCGCAGGCACATAGCGTGAATTAGATGTATGAATTAGATGATTTTTGATTATTTAAAGGAGGGTTTTATTTCGAATTATATTGCAGAGAAGTTTAATTCTATTATATCTATCGGATAAATTAATGAAGATATCAATTTATTCTGAATAGCCCAATTATTCCCTGTTACAATTAATGCAGTTATTAATGCTTTAATCTAATTTAGAGTCCTAGAAACCGGAAGTGTTTGAACGAGGGTGATTTACATATCGTAACTTATTATACTCATTATTTCTTATTTCTTTGAGAATCAAGACTGGCCGCTTTGTGCAGCGTAGTTCGCTTTGCTTAATGTCATGGTACAATTAATGTCTTGCAATTTATACACGCACCGTTATGCGTCGCGCATTATTAAATCGATTTATATTCCGACGCTGAGATTAACTTTATACAAAACATAAAATTTCTAATACAATAAAAGACAAATATTAGAGACAGACAAAAGTATTTACAAATATATAAAAGTTTCTTTCTTCGGTATGCTTATTTATATAGAAAAAATATTATTTACATAGATAAAAAATATATATCTAGTCATAATATAGATTATTTTTACGAATGTATTAAACGAAAATGCCATAAAAAATTTTTATGAAAAAAAATGAGCAAATCTATTTATCTTTGATTTATTGATCTATTTTATTATAAAGTTTTAGAAATATTATTGTAATATCTCTACACAATAATTAAATCTATAATTTTATTTATAATATAAATTTAAAAAATTCAATTTATATTATATAATAAAATATATTGTAGATTTGATGTCAAAACATTTTTACGAAATATTAAAAGATTGCAAAAATGAGTTAAAATTAAAATTTATATATTCTTTGATTTTTTTTTATAAATCAAATTTAACATTCACTGCGCACTTGAAAACTTAATAAATACACAAACTACTTTTCTCTGTTAACCTGACACACTTCCTTGAGGGTACAATAATTAATCACCTTTTGTTCTATTTGCGAATCTCTTACTGGCTCTCCGTGCGAAATTTTTACTCGTCGTTCATATAATAAATGCCACCCTCGTCGAGCGTTAACGAACCTTCGCGCAGATCTTCGAGTGCGAAATGTACGAGTTATTGCTCGCTGTTGAAGTCACGCCGAATCGTGCGGCCTACGTCGACACGAGGCAAAAGACCGAAAGATACTCGCAAGCTCGCATTAAGTCCGCTCTCTTCTCTGTTTTTTTTTGGTCCCGGCCTCCCCGCCTCTCTCATTGTCTTTCCTCGTCGACAAGCACTGCAGGCCTGCATCACGTCGAGAGTAAGAGGCGCGATCTCGTAATTATTACATCGTAAAGGATGGGAAGTGACGCGATGATTACCGCCGTTGCCAGCCTCCTTGAAGCCCCTGATGCACCGCTCTCTTGCTCCGGTTCTATTTTCTTTATTTATCGCCAGGTTCCACTCGTGCGCCATATTTCGTACACGATTTGGCGACGAGGACGTCGAGTCGCGCGTCGAAACACGTTTCTCGTAAACCATGTAATACATGACGCGTGCATTTATGAAGATAATAGAATGAGAAAATTTTTTTCTCAAGTTAGAACAAGTTATAACATGATAGTAATTAAGATTTAATTGGTATGACGATGATGTAATGACTAACAGCTTTCATTCGAAGTTTATAAATGGTTGTATGCTCTATTCACACGCACACACATACATACAAACGCGCGTGCACGTTCATAGAGAATATCTATGGCATTGTGATTGAACTTGCAAGAGATATCAAACGATTTTATCGTCGGAAACAAACGCTTGAGCGATCAAGGGAGATTAGATTCGAATCTAATTTAAAACCTCGGCTTTCATCGCGACCGGAAATACGCTACGGTTATCCGATGCAAAATGTAAAGTACGAGAAGAGATTGACCCAGCGAATCATACACAGTGTAAAAGTGCTGTCATAGTCCTGACAGGGTCAATTATCCCCACCGTCGACCGCCGCCATTCTCGACGTTAATTGTCGAGCGGTATAATGTAGCACGACATGCCGGCAGCGCAGGCGCCACAATAAAAAGAGGAGCAAACGAAGAGTGCGTCCTCCTCGCACGGTAGGATGCACCCAGCCGCCATTTTGGTGGCGGTGCAACAGAGGCGTAATAACTGCGGGAATTCATGGTAATGGCGATAATGCGAGCCCGGACGACGGGGTCCGCGGGATGGAAGAGGATAGGGGCGAGGCCCCTGAAGAGGCCCACCGAAGGAGTGGGGAAACACCGCGTGTCATGATGCAGAAACTTGCGTATGTTTCGTGCGTACGTGCGAACACCGATCCCGAAAGAAAGAACCATGAGAGCGGGACCGGCGTGTTTCTGATTGGTCGGGGCACATCAACCGGATGTGAAGGTCGGCCTATACGTTGGGGCAAAGCATCCGAGAATTATCCCTTACAGTTTACACGTTACGATAGAAAACGTAGGGAGGTCTGATGAATTCTTTTGTAGTCGACAATTGTTATGTATAAGTGTATATATACACTTATATTAATATTGTGTATCAATTTCCTTCAGTTTAAAATCAAGAACAAACAAACATTTGATCAGTATATAAATAATATATTTGGGGGGCATCCTTCGCTATAAAAAAAAATGGAAATTTTAACAACAATGTCTGTTACAATAATTAATGCTAACTAATACAAATGAGAGACAAGAAATGAGTAAGAAAAGATAAGAAAATACAGCATAAAGTTTTCAACGATGTTGCGTGGCAATCTTCTGTTATATCTACTGTTTTAATATTTTTCAATTTGTTTTTGTCTCTTGTATAGCAGCATTATCATTTTCTGTTTCTTTTAGCATGTAATTATGAGAATACATGAGAAAATAATATAATATTATCTACCATTATGTAAAACTGTATATTGAATGCATTTTGCACTCTCATAATTAAGATGTGACAAAAATCACGACAGAAGAGATAAAAAACACAGCATGTATGCTGTTGTATGCCACCTTTGCATTACTAATCATTACGTTTAATGAACGTGCTTAAGACGATCACCTCGTGTGCTTGTAATAATGATCTTTCTCATCATCGCACCGACATTTATCCTGTGTCCAACCCTTGATTTGGAGCAATTTCGAATAATGAAAATCCTCGTATAACACTTCCTGCGCGCAGCAGGCAGAGTGAGAAATAAAGATCTTTGAAAAGTTCGCAAGCCAAGTCGTAGTATGTGTATAGGTATTCTTATAAAATGTTAATAAAACCACAATTTAATATAAACCACAATCGTTACATAATTAACGTTTAACTTTTCAATAAAAAAATCTTCCTTTGTTTAATTTATATATTTATCCTTTTTTTAACGAAATTATATTAGAATAATACATGAAATAATAATTTATGTATGACATAATGATAATTAGAAGAGAATCTGTGTGTTTTGAACATCCTTCATTAGAATTTCTAGAAGAATAAGAATTTCACAGCTTTGTTGCAATGAACCTTCGTTGACGTTTATTCGAGAGGGATCTCCCCAAATCCTGAAGCACGTACTAGACTGGAAAAGCTGTTTGACGAATAAATACGTTGCAAACACAGTCGAGTGTATACGAGGAATAACCCTCGGTCCTGATGTGGACAGATGTATGGCTCGAAAGAACACTCGTCTTTCGAGAACTACTAGCTGAAGTGATGACAAGAAAAACTGACAGAGCTTAGCAAATGACAAATGCCGTATTACTTGAAGCGAACGTATTTTGATAGTACTTCTACTCGTGCCTGATAGAAACTCCTTGAATTGCGGTCGAGTGACTTAATATGGAGCAATTAAAGCGTCTGAATAAAATCCATATTTAAAAGTTACGAGAAATTAAACGTACTTATTTTTTAGTGTCGAAATTTTATTTAAATATTAGTAGTTTGATTTTGTAAAAGGAATTGATTTCTCGTGATTTTTTACTTATGAATGTTTTAATCTTACAATTAGTAGTCAGGACTTATTTTTAAAGATATATTTTTATTTTATATATTTTTTATGTCTACCAACTTTTATAAGAGTGGATTTCATACATCAAATTTCCTTGCTTCTGCTTACACTTGCATAACAAATAGTAAAATTAAAATGAACTAGTATATGAATATGAATCTGAACAGAGAAATATGATAGCATTCTAATACTACGAGAAATGTAAGACTTACCAAGGGTACCATCCAGAGAAAAAGAATGCCTATCGTTCCTCCATGCCCACGAACATAAATCGCAGGTGGTGAGCCCATCGGTGGCGATGCTCTCTTCGGGTAGATAAGGTGGTCTAGGTGGCGGGGGTACAAAGCTTCCAATAACAGCCCACAAGGAATCGACGTCGTTGCCGACGCCGGTGTAATACAACAATTCTTCCTCGGCGACACCGGCGAACCAGTCCATATCGTTTACACTAGGATGGACTGTGTTCGTACTTGTCGTGGTTGAACCGGTGACCGTGACCTAAAAAATAATACAATTGGTCAATATAAATTCACATAATATCAAAGCATATTTAAAGACATACGAACTGTGTTTCTTACTCTTTCGATTTTAATTATAGAAAAATTATCTTTGACTAGACATAAAATTCTTGTAATTATACAATGCACGATATATTTTTATATATACGCAATTGGACATATATTTATGTTATAATCAATTATCTTACGTTTCTTTAATTTAAATAATAAAAATTTGAGAAATCATCTTTACGTAGATATTTTAATTTTATGAAAAAGTTTTTTTGTTTTTTAGTTATATTTAATAATATGTAATTTGGAAATTTCACAACGTTTTTAATCATATCCATTAATTAATTTTATAGGATAAATTTGAGCGCAATCTATTATTGCTAATAATTTATTAGATATAGTGTGTTTATATTGTGCTAGTCTATATGTCTTTCAATACGCTTTGACAGTCCCAAGTAAACACGACTAATGGAACCTCGCTATCTCTGCGTGAGTTGTGGCTAAAGAATCGAATGCATTCAGTTTGTCCTCTGGTACATGTTTCAGGAAATGGTGAGTCAAACAGATGTTAAAATTAAAAAGTGAGGAACAAAGTCGGCGCATTTCTGAACATTTTTCTTGCTTGGAACAGTGGGGAACACCGGATGAAGCGGGTCTTCGCAAAGAGATGTTCAGTGTCCTAACTCTTACGACAAACATTGAAAAACTGTATAGGCAGTAGTAAACAAACGCGCCTTCTTTCTTTTTCTCGCTCTTTTAAATCGCTTTCTGCGTCTCGTACAAAAATTTAATGAAGAGACTACAAACACATAGCAACTAGACGTCTATACGTTAATTAACGAAATAAATTATGTAAATCTAAATATACTCTCGAAAATTTTTGTCATATTGAATAAGTAAGAGATAACGAGAATTACAAACATATACAAGTTTCTTTATTTTGATATAAATATAAATTAATGAGAGGATTAGTTGTTTCACCTTTTCGGATAAATTATGTGGTATTTATCTAATCACTAATGGATAAAAAAGGAAGCGAATAAACTGAGATTTTTCGAAAGATGGAACAACTTAAAACTTATGTTGTCTGATAAGAATAAGTTTATTTCAATATAATGTACAGGGAACTTATATCATTTAACATATTTATTGATTCCAAAATATTTGAAGAGTATGTGTACATATTCTTTCCGTACATTTCTAAGTAATAAATATGCATCTGAGATCATAACGTAATCGCATGTGGTTAACATGAGATGATCAAGAAAAGATAATAATTTTGTAAGATAAAATTCCATCTTTCTTTATCGCCGTAAGATAAAGAATTTAATGGAAAATTTGTGAGTCGATATATAGCGAATCGTTATTCGTAAATTTTCCATGCTGATATTTTCGGTATCGTAATTATAATGATTGAAATACAAAAATATTGGAGAGATATTAGATGAACGTATGGCTTTCTTTTTTGTTTATTTGATTGATACCATAATTGCAGTATGTTTATTTAAAAATGTAGGTATTTCTTCGCGAATGGGGATCGCATGCAAGTTGGAATTAATGACTTTATCCATCCGTTGCCACGAGGCATTCCAACGTGTTTCATGTGAACCGCATATCAATCTAAAATGCGCAATCAGATATTCAAACGGAATGATACATTCGTGATTTTAGAGATTAGTATTAGAGATAAATGTAGTTCGTCAAGATAGAACGGAATATTGCCTTTAATGTGCTTTTATAAATTACTATGCATAAGCAACTTTCTTCTTAATGGAGTATACTAAAAGAGTTTTGTAAAAAAAATACAATGTTAAAATTAAAACTAATATATCTTAATCTTAATTTATACTTCTTTAATAAGAAAATTGTATTTATATAATAATTAGATGAAAATGAAGTATATCAATTGAATACAAAAAAATTTTAAGGAGATCCTAAAGTGATAGAATTATCAACATTACAAATTAAAAAGTAGTTTTTCGAATTGGTTGTACAAGTTGCAAAATCCTTTTATACAATTAAAATATGCATAAAAAGTACGAGAAAAGATTAAAAAATTATAATGATACTAAATATAATAATTTTTTTTTTTTCAAATCGATCATCTTGCACCTTTTTTTTGTATTTTAATAATCTCTTACATTTTACAATCTCTACATCACAGCCAATTCGGAGAACTTTCTAATCCGTAATATTGATAATCTATCACTTTAGGAACCTCTTAAATCTATCTGCAAAATATAACAACCGCTATTAAGTACGACGCATTAAAGATATCGAACGATTTTAGTGTTCGGTCGTCACGCTTTAAAGGATTAAAAAGATTGAAAAGCATAGAAACAATGCCCCGCGAAGCGTTCCTCTCCATTGAATTCCATCAGCTTCGGATCTGATCGAACGATCGAACGAAATAATCTCTCCATGAAGGGATCCATTTGAGTGCCCACAGATGGTTCTTCATATCCGATGTTCTCGTCACCGGTAGGTAGAAGGCCCAACGGTTTGCGTATCATCGACGGGATTGGGAGAGTCACTGTGTTTATTCTCCTCCCCGTTCTTTGTCATGGCTTTTCCACGGCGCGGCGGCAATGAAGATTCGACACTGCAGGCAGGATGCGTCCTTGTATCCCCACGGAAGGTGGGATGCTTTTGTGGCGTGCGGAGGAGGCTCGTGGTCGGGATTGCGGATAGGAACTCGGGTGAAGCACTGAGGCTCTCTGCTTGGCGCACAATAGCACGCATTGATCGGCTTAATTACCGTGATATCGGCGTAATTAAAGCCCCGTTGTGTTGGGACCCTTTCTACGAAGGTGTCGAAGTAACCCGTGACTCGACTCCTGGCGTCAGGATTCTCGCATTCTCTCCGTCTCTCTTTTCGATTCCTTCGTACGATTCTCGTCAAGGCCCCTCTGTCACTTCCCCGCGTTCCTCGGCAACGCTTTGTTAATAAGCCATTATCCGGCCGGCGACGCACCTTCGGCGGTTCGCGAGGCGCGCGTTCAATCGCGTGGTGCTTTTAAAGAAGCGCGGCTTGTAGAGGCCAGTCGTAGAGAAATTACAAAGGCAATCTTATTCGCGGCGTACGCGGAATCATCCAAGTAGAGTCAATTTTTCAAGTGAGCACATTTCCGCTCACTTGAGTGAATATATCGCAATTTGATATCGAGGAAAGAGATGAAAGATTAATACGCCCACATAATGATGAACGATATTGGAAAGAGCTTTGCCTTATATTTTTCTCTATATATTTATCTTTTCTCATAATTTTATACTTGATAACATTTTTACCAACACTCTGAAACCTGCAATTTTATCATATTTTCTAAAATATTAAATTTAAATCATTGTTATATTAATATAATTACTTTCAACTCTATTAATATGTATGTATGTTATTTAATATGCGTGACTTATATATTTTGATCATCCTGTACACTAAACAATATCTTGAGACAATTAAGAATCAGCAAACTGTCACGCGATTATCCTTTCCGGATTTCTAACGTAGCGTCATAAATTTTTTGTGTGATACTGCATTATCTGTGCGCATTTGCATCATTTGGATTCAAGGCCAAAATCAAAGTATCGTGTATTATCTTTCCAGATTGACTGTGAAAAGAAGAACCATAGCTGAAGACTGTAGTCAATCTCGACGTTGTGACCGCTTTAGATTTAAGGTTAGTGACACGAAAACCAGTTTACATTTCTGTTCGCGACATACAACGATATTCACGTTTACTAATTAGTTCGTTATATTGTACGATAATACTTCCTATATGACATGCACAATTTCACAAATATTTTATAAATATCCACGTCCGTATTAGCTAATTAAATATTAAAAAATAGGGTTGTTCCATTAATTTGCAACATTTGATGCATGACTTTAATAAGGACTGATTCAAAGTGTTAGCTATCTTCGAGTTATTACTTTCCGATCTCATCAGCTATGCTCGTTATATTCGAAGGAAACGTCTCATTATAATTACGAGGCGTTGGCGTTTACGAGCGAAAAGGGATGAAGCCTTATACTTGTTAATTTTAACATCCTGTTCAACTGCTCTGTCCTTTCTGGACAAGCGTGACTCAACCCTTTACAAGATTTGTGTCTAACGCGAATTTGTGCGTTACGTTTAAATATAAACATTGTCTTTGTCCATCATATATATTATCGAAATGATTTAAATATTTATTTGTGACCGATGAAAATATCCTTTTTTACTTGATTAAAATTATTGTCGTAAAATGAAATAAATAAACAACATAATAAATTGTTTGAAAATCAGGATAGATAAAATCAAAGTATTAAACATTAATAGATGTTACATAATTAGCATTTAAATGTTTGTATAAATATTACTCACAACGATTGAAACATAATTTTTACGCGAAATATAAGAAACGTCGAATTTAAAGGGTCGACATCCAGAATACGATAAAAATGATAGAGTCTGTCTCAAATTTCCATGTTAAAGTAGATCTAAGATTCTTCCGACATTTCGGTTGCGATTCACACCATTGTCTCTTATGGCTCCTTTCATGTCCCCTTACTAACATTCTTCGTCTGTCTTTCCATCGTCCTCGAATATATCTTAGAGCTCGCACCGCGGAATTCGCGCCCCGTTTCTATCGAACCGCCGCCGCCTCTCGACGTGTTTCGTCGGACCGCACGCATTTGCAATTCTGACACATTTGGCGGTGAAGTATAACACAGTGCACGCTATTCGCTGGTGAATCTGCTCTCCTCGAGACAAAGACAAAAGGAGAAGAATATCCCCATGAGCTACGTGGCGGGAACGTTGGAATATCAAATGATTCTTGGAAAGATCCTCCCTGGTCCATCTCACGTCCTCTCTTCGTCTTCGATCTCGTTCTCTCCGTCATTACTGACATTGTTTCGCGATCTTCGTGGCCTCCTTCGTGGTGAATTTTCGGTGCTTCTTGGCGCAAGGCGGGAGGACGTGTCCCATCATTCTCCTTTTACTCTTCCTTTCTCTCTCTTTTCCCTTCTCGCTAAGTTTGAGAGGTCGTTAAAGATGGGTTCGAGGTCCAGGACCGTATATAACGGATAATTGACAGCCGTGCCGGGGCCGCCGTTTGCTTTGCATGGACATTGAATTCGCGTGGATGGACGTACGACCGAAAGGAGACGAGAGGCGGTGCGACGTGAGGCTACGAAATTCGACCGACCGGTCGAACGGAACCGCGAGAGAGCATGAAACGTGACGTTCGGCCAGAGGAAGTGGAGGGCAAATGCTTGTGCTCGCTCAACGAACTCGTAAATTCTTCAATTTTGATGTTCGGAAAGGCACAAACGCGATCGTGACTTACGGTACTTTCTTCCTCGCGAGGGGCAATCTCATTTCGACTTAATCGCAGCCCGATATAGTGGTACTTTAGTAATTATCTGTACCTTATCGAAAAAAGATAAAAATCCTGTACCCCGATTCAGTAATTCTTAACTACATCGATACTGTTGTTGTTGCGTACATATTACATATGGTAAAAAAACTGCGCAACAACAACATATCGAACTGTTGTTAAGAGTTACAGAATCGGGATACTGGAATAAGAAATTAAAAATGTGAAACTGTGAAAAAATGTGATTCTTTTTCAAGAAAAATAATAGAAATTTTAAATTTGCGCAAGGTAAAAATAATTCGTATAAACTAAAAATATGTCTTTTCATACTTCCATCTTTTCTGTTATTTTATAAAGATAGCGAATCATTTCTTATTTGTACGATACATGAATGTAATCAATAGGAATTGGATTCAATTATGTAATCATAGTATTTATCTGAAGTGTCATGTATAGCATTTGCATATCGTATTTCTTTATTAAATAGTTGGAGTTCTGATAAAGCTAAATAAGACATAAAGTTACCGGTTTAATCGAGTTCTTTCTAAATCATATACGAAACTACTATAAAGTTACAGAACGAGTAATGGACACTTGCGAAACCGATGCCATACGCAATATACAATTTTGCAAAGAGTTATACGTTTTCAATGCACATGCATTGTTATTATCGGTGATTTAGCGAATATGCCTAACACGCCCGATAATTGAGAGGGCAATTTAAACGGACAGACAAATGCGACAAGATTATAAAGATCCGTTCCGCGTTGCGTATATACGCACTTTCGTATGTGCGAGGGGAAGCGAGGCGAGGCGAGGGTCGCGATACGTGAACGTGCGGTTACGCGAATCGCAAGTGGAGCGTTCGTAATGCCCGTGAAAGTATATGAAGTCTCTCTTTAAATTACGCCGCAAATTACCATCTCCCGCTGTTCGCCGTGCGCTGCGACCCCACGCGTGCCACGCAATAGCACGCAACACCCTCACGCATTAAGAGAGCTAATGAACTTCTCAGAGTATATTTCAGCTGACCGTACATTTTTCTTCGATGCGTTCCGCGTCGTTACGAAGACAACGGCGATGATGATTTTCACACCCGAGCGGCTTTTTATCGAACCGCCCGCAGTCGACACGTAGGAGTACTCGCGCGTGTATGCACGCACGCGCGAAGAATATTAACGCTCGTGATTACACCAGGACACGACGGACCTTTAATGCTTATCCTCCTCTCGCCAGTGAAATGCGATTTGCGAAGGCTCTTTAATCAAGTGACTTTATTATATGTTTGTGTCACTATATTTACCTTCTCCTAGTTATTCACGCACGAAATGCTAATATAAAACACGTATTATTACTTAGGAATTTAATAACTATACTTGATGCATGCTAAATTATTTAATTATCTACTCGCGACTGAAGTTATTCATTTGCTTAAAATAGAAGACAGATTTTTTCTTTTATTAATTATTTCTAATCTTATAAAGTGTATGGTTAAGCGCCTATAATATATCATTATGTTCATATTAATTAAAAGAAAATATTTTATCTCTTATCGTATGTTTCTTATAAACATTTTTGACTAACAATAAGTCTTTAACTTTCATAATTCCTTTTAATAATTTTTATATAATTGACATGTTTTCTTTTTTTCGGCGAGAGAGAGAGAGAGAGAGAGAGAGAGAGAGAGAGAGAAAGAGAGACTTGATGCGACAATATATTCAAACATAAGTATACTTTTATTGCAATTTTATTATTATGTATCAGTTATTATCCCGAGGAGATTAGATTTGAATGTCTGATGTCTGAAATTAATTTCTGGTTTTATGACTCGAGACAGATAAAACCATAATCAACGTCGAAATCTATTTCGTTCGCTTTCTTGCCTTGAAGAAAGGTTGAAGGGAACGAACAAAAATGACTTGTCAAAAGATACTTTAATCCTCCCTAAGAACCGGGTGATCGATCTAAAATGGCCAACAGGATCTACGGGTTCTGTTGACTTCTCGCAGGGACGTACTTGCGGTTTTCCGAACCTGTTTCTTCTAGTTTGTGCTTCTTCTTACCTTTCTTCTTCGTGGCGACTCGCGTTAAAATCTTGTTCTTATTTGGCTTGTATTAGTATTGGGGACGAGATAAAAATCCGGTGGCGGATTAGCCCTAGTAATAGCATCAATACTAAACCAGTTAGGACCAGCCTGATGTCATAATATTATGGTACGTGCTGATGTTAATGGCATCGTGTGACGCGAGAACTTCCTTTTCATAAACAATGTTAGTGTAGCTGAAAACCAAGTGTGGTGGTGAAGCAACAGTGTTAAATCGTCATAGACTTTCAATGCTCGTGATAGAAAAAAATATTTAAAAATAGAGATCTAAATAAAATTATTTGTTCTACAAATAAAATATTTATTGTGCTAACAAGGAGACAATTATTTCAATGAGAAAAGCAGGAATTAATTTTAATAAGGACAATAAGCTCGAATGTAGAAGAATGAAAGATATGAAGGCGCATGCGAATCTGCTGTCCCATTAATTTTCTGGGAGAGCGAGCACAGAACTTGCCGATAATGAGTTAACGTGGGATCGAGGATCTCGTTTATCTTCGTCTTTCGCTTCAAACTCTCTCGCGTGCATCCGCGATCGAACTTGATGAACGTTCTATGACTTATCTCTGTCCATCTGACCAAAGTCGATTGTAGAAGCAGAAATAGACAGGAGAGGAAACAACGACGCTGAACTGAATGAGGAAAAGATACCGAGCAGTATATAGTAGACACCACGACTACTTTGTCTGTCTGTACGCGTTGAATCATCCGGTCGGTTTCCTTTCACGAGTCGATGGCAGCCGTTCCCGCATCAAGGCCTGTGGTCTCCTCCAAGCAAGCATAATGACTCAATCCACGATCCACCTTGCCCTCACCCTCATCGTGACCACGAGGATCTCTCTCTCTTTCTCTCTTTCTCTTTCTCTTCCTCAACTTCTCCTCCTGCCGTACCATCCTATCTCTCTTTATCTTGTGAAGATTATACGTCCGTTCGTCTCTCGGCGAACCCGAAGACAAGAGATCTGTGGTTTTTCTCGTGACCGCCTGCTTTACACAGTTTCCTTTGCCGCTGTATTCTTTAAACTCCTTCCAACTACTCTTTATCTTTGTCTTCTTGTTCTTGTTCTTGTTCTTCTTCTTCTTCTTCTTCTTCTTCTTCTTCTTCTTCTTCTTCTCCGTTTTCTTTGTGATCGACCCTCACGGAGTAGACTTCAACGGCGTTAACTCGTGCTCGCGTGACGCTATGCTGTTTATAATGTTGGACGATCCCT